ACAAATTAGATTTCATGGAATGTGTTCTCAACGAAACCATGAGATTATATCCGCCGGTCATTACATTCGTGTCGAGAGAGTGTCTTCAGGACTACAAATACAAAGACATAACAATCCCAAAGGGCTCAACCGTTAACTTCTCGACCTATTACATGCATCACGACCCGGACTACTGGCCGGAGCCCGAGAAGTTCGACCCCTTGCGGTTCAGTCCGGAGCGCAAGCATGAGATCCATCCGTCTTCGTGGCAACCCTTCGGAAGTGGTCCACGAAATTGCATTGGAATGAGATTTGCTTTATTCGAGGCTAAGATGGCGTTGGCTAAAATCCTTATGAAATACCGTTTAGAACCGGGATCTAACACAGAGATCGGAAAATTGACCACAGAATGCAAAATCTTAACCCAAACCCCTAAAAATGGCGTTTATGTCAAGGTTTCTTTAAATAACTCACATATTCAATAAAAGTATGTTTTTTGATACAAATTTTATTTATAAAGTTTTAATTAATTTCAATTTATTAAATTTATATTTTTATGTTAAATATTTTTGTTTATAAAGTTATAACAAGAAAACATATAAAAATAATTATCTTTTTTGAAGAAATACAAAATTGAAATATAATTTTGGGATAAACGGGACCCTCTATGAAACTACTGTTCGTACACCTGTTTGGGATACCCGTCCTTTGGGGGCCAAATGGTTTGGGATTATTAATTCGTCGCTCGTATTGCATGAATGTCCTGATAGTACAGCATATGGTGAACACCGATATCAAGAATACAAGTAATCCAGTGATCATTACAATGATTGCCACTCTTGTGGTTGTCTCCAAACCACTCATTCATTGACGTAAACAATACTAACGATCCGATTATTGTCATCAAGACTGACACGACGACCACAACACCCATGCATTTGAGACAACACGTGAAACAATTCTTCTCTCTTTGGTAACGGGACTCATCTTCAGATCCATTACGCGTTTTATGATTTATACAATTGTCTCAACACTTTGAACAGATTTGCTTTTTTCAAACTTCTATATTATGTGAATATTTTATAAATCGCGAGCTTTTATGTTATTTGTTTGATAGTAGTAATTAGTAATTACTGTGGTTTACTTGCTAATGTGGTTTTATTAATCCTAACCATTGATTACCAAATCATTGAGTTTTAAAGTTTTAAAGTTTTAAGTTAATAAATAACATTTTATAACTTTATATTTTAATTACCATTTGGAATAATTGAACTAGATAATTGGAATAATTCTTTTGATACTTATATTTACAATGTAAAATTTATAAAATTAAAAATAAGTACAGAATTTAGTGATAATTATGTGCAAAATGAGGATTATATATGAATTTGTATTTTTAGCGCCAATTCCACTCAAATGGAGGTCTCCGGCTTGGGGTCGGGTTTAGTGTTATAAATGCAAACCCAGAATGTGGCCGATATTATGTTCACAATAACGGCCGTCACTATAATACACGATATGATAATTAGCGCCAATTTATTATTGCTGTCAATCTCTTTGCGTTCCTGAGAGTCAAGACTGTGTCGCA